TTGCTGACGTTATGTCCATCGAGAGTCTGGTGTCCGTCGTGTTCTACCGTGGTCTGACGATGCAAGTTGCCGTGGAGCGTGACGAGCAAGGACGTTCCAATTACTCCATGTGCGCGGTGAATCCGAGTAGGATCTCCAAGACCTTCAACGAGCAGGCGCTGCAGTATGTCGTGGAGAATATATCCGAGGAGACTGGCTGGTTGCTTGAGATTGTCAATTATAACATTGCCAATTTGCAATATGTTTGTGCTGGAGATGTAAGTTTGATCTATTCCCGATTTTTCCCCTGTCCTGATCTAAGCTAACAATTCACACAGCTTCGCGCCCTCGACACCCTCACAAACGTCCTAAACGTTCTCAAAGCTCAGAAGATAGACATCACCACCCTAATGTCCACCATGTCCCTCGACGACGTGCGCGCCCACCTGGTCGAAATCATCACCTCCTGCTCCCAACTCACCTCCTCAAAGCCTCTACCCCTTACACTCGAGCGCGGCTTCGCCACCATCCCACTCAAGGGCATCGACGTCCCCTTCCACAGCACCTTCTTGCGCTCCGGCGTGAAACCGTTTAGATCCTTCTTGCTGAAAAAGATTAATAAGACCACGATTGACCCCAGCAAGTTGGTTGGGAAGTATATTCCGAACGTTTCGGCCAAACCGTTTGCGTTGACGAAGGAGTATTTTGAGGATGTTTATCGGTTGACGAATTCTCCAAGGATTGGGAGTGTGTTGGCGAATTGGGCGAAGTATGAGGAGGCGGGGGTTGGAGAGAAGGTGTAGATACGCCCTGATGTAGAAGTCCGCTGTAGTGTTGGGTTGGGTTTGGAAGAGGGGTTTACCTACTCTTCTTGTCTGTTGTGTTTCTGCTTGTTGTTTCTCTTTTTAGTTTTTGAAAGTAGCTGTTTAGTATTTGCATGGTTTTAAGATGGATGAATGAGTTTTAATATATGTGACTCTGATGGGTGGTATGCGATCAAACAAAAAATATCTGTTGGAGTTTCTTGTTGTACTCTATTCCTATCACACACACTTTCCATGATTCTTTTTGAGCTAATAATTTATCTATGTTAAATTTTGCTATTCCACATTTCCTCTGTTGATCAGCAAAAGATTAATATTCCTGTTTAGTTTGATTTGGTCGCTTTGCTTCTTATCTTTTTTCTGTGTAGTTTGTGAGACTATCAGCACTGGTTGATAGAAATTAGACTTATATTATATATACATGGATTCTTCTGATGTTACCCTTCACTTAGCTCTCCACATCGCAGATCACTTCATCTCAGCCCCTCCAGTTATATAGGCATACTAATCTTTACATATGTTGAAACTCCAGAGCAAAAAAGCATCTACAGGACAATATATTTCTAACCTTGGCAGTCTATTATCTAGCAATCAGGCCTCTTCTCTTCTCCCATGTATATCTATTCCTGGTGGGAAAGCGAGTGAAGGAGCGGCAAGGGTGAGAGCATAAACCTGCTAGGAGCACGTAGAGAATATGCAGGGGGATTTAGTAAATGGTCGAAATGCCATTTTGAAATCCGTGGAAGATATCTAAGCAGTTGGTGTATCGCACTGTAAGAGCCATTCAAGGCGGATGGCGAAAATGAAGTGAAAAATAAATTCCTGAATACACAAACGTGACAAGGAGTCACCAACCGTCTACATACCATACAGCACATATATGACGTAGAAAAACACATCAAACCAAACCCAACCGGCAGGTCCATATCCATTATATAATCAACAGCCATCATTACTATCCGCTTAAAAAAAGAAATATGGAAATCGGCTCAATTCTCTCCCCCTTGTTTCCCCTTCCCATTCTACCACCCACTCGCTACACTTCTTCACTGTCCAATCAAAAAATCCGTAAAGAACAAGCCAAAGCCAATCCATACATAATCCACCCCAATCGCAACTCATCCACGTACCAATCCAATCACGACCCCTCCTTCAGAACCCCAGGCCTCAACAACCGATCCTCTTTCCCATAAATACTCACATCGCGCACAATAGCAATGAATTTCCGATGATTCTCCTTCGAATCCCCAATACGAGGACGGAATATCTTCAACAACTCCCCACTAGCAATACCCATAGCGGGTATCGCGGAATGAATTTCCGACGCAGTGGGGAAGGTGAGGTTTGAAGGCATCCCAACGGGTGCCGGGACGGGTGTGGAGGGGCGTGTCGTCGGTGCTGGAACAGCTGGACTCCCCGCACGAGAACCATGAGGCGTCCCAGCCCGCGATTTCACGGCTGGCGGGTTGAGTTTCAGTTTCTTAGAAGCTACAGTTGTTGTTCCGTCGCTCATTTCGGCGCCCGAGCCAGCTGCCCGTTCACCATCGCTACCCGATCCGGGTCCGTTTCTGGCACGTTTCCTTCCGTGTTGATCGGGTCCTTGTTTGCGTTGGGTCTGGAGGGCCGCTGCAGGGCCTGGGGAGATAGGTCGTGATTCAGGTTGGGCATCGTGGTGTTTGCTCTTGGGCTTCTTGCGGGAGGTATCTGTGCCGCTGGCTTCCGAGAGATTGGGGGAACCAGGACGTTTTCGAGTAGAATGGGATGCTGCTCCTTTTTTGTTGAGCGGGTCGGTGTGTTTGGGGCGGCCTGAGGGGGTATTTGTGCCCTTTGTTGAAACCCCGGAGTTCTTGTCGGATTCCTTGGCTCTCTCTTTCTTGGCGCGTTCCTCTAGCTTTCGCTGTTCTTCTTTTAGGCGCTCGGTTTCGGTATCATCTGAGCTCTATTGTAGGATAAATGTGGTTAGTTACAGTCTGGAATATACTTGGGAGAGTCATTTTGAGGATACGAATATACACACCTCTTCATCAGAGTAAGGATTGGCATCCGAGCCGCTGCTGTAGTCAAAATTCTTCTCTCTCCGCTGAAGAGCTTTTCGTACGCGCTTTCCAAAATTCTTGAGCTCCTCCTTTTCTTTTTTCTCCTGGTTCTCCTCTTCGTCGTACATCTTCTCATCCTTAAGATCGAAAATATTGGCCTTTAGTTGATCCTCTTTTATTCGCTTCTCAGCTGTTTTGACATCTTCGTCCTCGTCGAACATCCCAACGTGTTCTTCATCGTCAGCAAATCTGTCTTCTTCGAAATCCAAATCATCTCCTTCAAAACCATCACCAGCCCCTAAAAACCCTTCTCTCTTCCCAGTAAATAGTCGGCTCTGTTTGGCATACTGCTCAAGCGCCTTCTTCTGAATTCTAACCTGTTCTTTCTCAATAAACCACCGGGGATCTTTGTTCTTCTTTGCCATGTGCTTCTCAGCCTCTTCAATGGATAGAGTTCTGAAGGGGTTTTTGGTGATGAATTTGTACCACTTGTCAATCGGAACCATTCTCATCTTTCCATCGTTTTGAAGAACAAACATCGCATGCGTCTCCGACATGGCCGCTTCATAGTTCCCAACCCAAGTTCCCTTATTATCAAAGTCATCCAGATGCCAAGGCAGCGCTTCCTCATACTTAATCCGAGCTCTAGCCATCTCCTCTGGTGTCATCTCAGATTTGAATACCTGCTGAGTCCGCTGCTTCGGTGCATTGGCCTTCTTTGGTGCAGTGGCAGCTGACGGCGCTATTTGTGCCAAATTCTCTGCACGTTCCTTCTCCCTTGCCGCTTTCTTAGCCTCCAGTTCCTCCCGCTCAGCCTCATTGAGCTCACTCTGTTTTCGTGGGACCTGGCCCTCTTTCTCGGTTGCTGGCCCAGTGTTCAAGGTACGAGGGTCGCGGCGCTGTAAACGGACCGGTCGCGTAAACTGTGACTCATCTCTCGGATCTATATTCTTCTTCGAGGCAAATCTGGCAATATGATGTTTTAAGCCCTCCCTCCATGCACGTTTGGTGGTTATCAATGGATAATCAACGTAAGTCTCAGAAAGCAAAGGTCCGCTAAATCCATTTACGGTCAAGTCGTCTGCGCTGGGGGTGATAGGTTTGGGCTTTGCTAAAGGCTTTGGTCTAGGTACAGCTAGTGGAGGTCGAGGCCTTGGAGCTGCTGTCCCGTTGGCAGCTTGACCTCCTGGCTGGCCTTGACCTGGTGGACGCGGAATTGGTTTCTTCTTCGGGCGGACTAAGGGGTCTGCATTTAGGCGACGTATTTTAATGAACGGTCCATTTGGACCAGGAGGAGGAGGGTGACGCGCTGGTGTAGGTGGATTGGGTGGCGTAGCGCTCATGGTTAAGAGGTATTGTGTCCTCGACAAAGTATTATCTCGAGAGTCTATTGAGAACGTAAGATAAACGGAAGAGTCGCACAGATAGCAACTGGTTAATCAAAGTCGTGAATCCCTTGGGGAAACGCCTTGTTCGGAGGTTCAGCGGTTGCGGTAGAGAACCATGAGAGCTGTAGCTTGCATATGGGCGGTTGGGAGAGTCGTACAGAGGTAACGGAATACCGGTCAATTTTCGTAGGCAGTTCGCACAAAGTTGATGTACTTGTCAGTGAAATTTTTTTCTTTTGAGAGAGGAACAACCAGAAGGGAGCAACACAAGTCAAATATATTGTTGTTTCTTTATCGAGATGAATGAACAATGACCTGAGGGGAGTTTAGGAGTTCGAGGTTGAACAAGAAGAGAGTGAGGGTCACATGATATGTCTTATATAAGCAAATGCTCGTTGGTCAACTAGTTAGTTAGCTAACTAGTTGACTTGTTAGCCAAACTTTGAGCTTCATGAGTCTCGCTGTATTCTTCATTTAAACTATTACAACAACAGGCAATCAAGCACACTTAACACTCTTTAACCTGGCTTGATGACTTTACTTGGTCAATGCTTGTGCACTCCTTTGAAGATTGATTTAAAAGTGTTTTTTCATCCAATCCCATCTTCTGTGATTGAGTTTCTCTTTTGTTTAGATACCCCTTAAGCTGCATATTCCTGCAACTTAGTCCCACTGTTCAAGGCTTGAGATAAATCAAGTCTACCAAACACTTGACTTATCATTATTTTCTCCTTTTTGCTCTACATTTCGGATCTCCGCATTCAACAATGGCGATGTCCAGAACTGGTCGGTCTTTTATGTCAACCCCAGGCAAAGAGACTGATCATAACTATCTTCGCTTCCTCACCGCACGAATCGAGGAATGGAACTTGTCCTATAACCATATCCTTAGGGCTGAGAAATTCCGTTGCAATTTGATCGTGGTGTCAAATAAAGCTGTGAAGGGATTTCTCAAGGAGGAAATTGATGTATTTGCGGATGTGATTGTTAATATTTTTTTGTTATGGCAGCTTCAAGTCGGGATCTGTGTTACCGACTTCTGTTGCAGATCTGCAATTGGTCTCTAAAAATATGCCCTACCATCTGAGGAGTCAAATGCCCACCGTTTTGAAAGAGGCCTTCCATAGGAATGGATTGTTCACGTCATTTTTACCTGGAAGAGTGACAAAACTCTTTGTATGCGATGCATCTGTTGAAACAACGGAAACCTCATCCACAGCATTACCAAAAGAGTTAGCCAAATACAGCCACTGGCGCTGAAGTAGTCGGCCATCGCAAAACCTGTTCAGGAGTTCACATCATCATCCATTTCCCTTCCTCAGGCGGTGATCTGGCAATCCACTCGACGGAACTCCTTCACAATTATGCCAACTGTGACACTCGCGTATTGGAGATGGGCACATTTGTGAAACATTGGGCTACCGCACGTCGAACAAACGACCCCTCAACTCGGACCCTCTCTTCGTACGGCTATATCTTAATGATCCTACATTTCCTTCTCAACGTCGTCGATCCTCCTGTTCTCCCAAACCTGCAGCACACCAGCATTGGTCTCCGCGAACTCCAGTGGATTGAGGGGTGCGAGGTGTTCTATTGGAGAGACGTCCCCGCAAGAAAGAAGGCTGCGCATCAGGGGAAATTGACACGCAATAAACAACCGGTCGTCGATCTCCTGAGGGGGTTTTTTGACTATTACTCTGCAGGCAAATTTATCACAGGGCGTCGTCGATTCTGTTACAAGACTGACGTTGTTTCGGTCCGAATCAGCGGTGGACAGATGGCGAAGAATGAAAAGGGGTGGGACGTTAGTGAAGGAGGGGACCATGTCAACCCTGCCCGGAGGAGACAAAGGTACTATTTAGCCATCGAGGATCCATTCAGAACAAAGCTTAATGTCGCCGGTGGTGTCAACATGAGAGGTCTTAGCGTTATCAAGGATGAATTTGCTAGAGCAAGGAACATAATTTTGATTACGGATAATGAGGATATTGGCGACGACTTGTTCCGCCCCAAAGTATCGCCACAAAATGAGCCCAATTTGCAACACGAGTTACATGACTTGGGTCTTGCGAATACACGATAAACCAATTTTCAACCACGGTTTTCTTTGTGTTTTGATACACTGCGGTGGTGAGTTTGGCGATTCAACAGCACCTAAGCGATGGCAGTTTTTCTTCGATGCAGTACACCTGTGAGCTACCGCATCTGTCATGGTTGTGTGATAGTTACTTCCCTGTGATTTCTGGTATCTTTCATTATTCTTTGTTGATTCATTTTCTTTCATGTACATCTGTTCAGAGCATCATCTGGACATCAATGCCTACAGCGCCTGATCATAAGATTTAATTATGGCATCTCTGAAGCTTCTTGCTTTTAATTCTTGTTGATTACTTTGTAACTTATTTCCCATAATCTGGACATGTTACAGAGAAATTTCTTCTGGTGTTAATATCCTCTAGAGTTTACTTTTCTTTTGTCTATTAATGTTTTCTTCACACACGTTCTCCTAACACGCTATCCTCAAGCATAATGCTTATTATGAATTTGTTGCCATCAGATGTTTTTCATAGTTAATAATGGAGATTTACTATTTTAAGTCATATTCACATATAATCTTATACCGGAGTACCACTCCAGATGCATTGCTCAGCTGGTACTCTTATATCATGGCATCATTACAGAATTTCGAGAAGCAATTGTACTAAGAAGTAAAGAAAACAAAAAAAAAAAAAAAAAAGAAAGAAAGAAAGAAAGAAAAAAGGAAAAAGAAGAAAAAGTAAAAAGGCCCTTTTATCGACTCCCGTTCGTAAGAACCTTCGCTACTCTCCCTCTTCATCCCCACCATCTTTACACCTCCCTCTCCACCACCCCTCCAAACCCCTAACATCAAATCTACCCCTACACCTGTTCACTTCCATGATCTCCCTTAACTTTCCTCTCTCACTCACAAACCACTCCCTCCCCAAACAATCCTTCTCATACGCATTCAAACTCACACCTTCCCACTCATGGGTCTTCAGATTGCGGAAAAGCCCCACGGTCCCCACGGGCGGATTGAAAGTCACCGCATTCACGAACACGCTAACGGATACTCCAGTCCTTTGCTGGTGATCTTCCAAGGATGGGTCCATGATGCGTAAATCGCGCTTGGGCGGCATGTGGGGGCGTTTCACGATGGTGGGCGATATCCAGGATATCACGGCGAGGATGTCGCAGAGGTAGTTGCGTTTTGGTAAGGGTTTGGGTGGGTGGAGGAGTTGGGAGAGGGTAAGGAGGTTGAGGGGGCGATTGATGGGTTTTAGGATACCTGGGAGCTTGAAGGGGCGGGGTGTGGGTATTTTGGAGTTTTGGATGATCGTGTGGGCGGTTTCTCCTGTTGGAAGTGATGGGATGGGGGTTGTTGGTTTCCTGGCTTCAGGCAATTTGGGAAGGCCATCGTTGAGTATTGGTAGTTCTTGTGGGATGCATTTTTCTGGCTCTTGAATTGGCGCTGGCTGCCCGGGACAAACACCAGGACGGGTTTGGTGATCTGTAGTTTCATAATCCCTGAGGACTTGAACAACTTCATTTCCAGCATCAAATACTCTGTCCAAGTTTTCTGATAAATATTCGGACTTCTGAGCTTTAAACGCATGGACATCTTCTGAAATCTTCATGCCTTCGTCCACATCACTTAACCTAAAACGTTTTTCTGTACGTTTAAATTCGTCAACATCGTCTTCATCATTGCCACCATCATCTTCCCTCTTCCTTTTCCGTTCAGGCTCCCGTTTCTCCACTTCACTCCCTCTCGCTGTCGCTGACGCCCACGCTCTACTATGCCCAGTCCTCATCCCACCCAAACACCGAAACCCATAAACAGCCAGAAACACCACATGGCCTCCGTCTTCCCCAATCCTCTCTCCTTTCCGTACCTCAAACCGATCCAAGCTCACCACAGACCCCGCGATTATCTCCCCGGTCAGAGCCAAGGGATGCAACGCTTTCCCCAACAGCGCTTGTATCACCAATTCGCCATCACTGAGAAAAATCCGGAGCGATCTGCGTTTCGGTTGCTCAGATGTCGATGATGATGATGATGCTGTTGTGGTGCTGGAAGTAATTAATACTTCAATGACACGCTCAACGCGCAGGATTAGTTCTGGTGGTTGATACCCTGTGCGCAGCAGTTCAGCAATGCAGGGGCGGATTTCGGGTTCGGGTCCAAGGGCTGGCGGATAGAGAATGGAAATATGATCCTTAGGAATGAAATTTAAATTTGTTAATCGATTATAGAAATGTGGGTGGGCAATATGATATTAAGAAAAGAATAGGAGCTATCGTTTCACGTACCATAACAGTTCGATTGCATCTCCATGGCGGAGATTTGTGCTATTACTCTCAAGCTGCTCTCATTGGAGGCGTCTAAAAGTAGTGGCGATAACCAGATGACTTGGGGGTTTGGTGGAGGATTTGAACAGGGTAAATAGTGCAATTTGAGTGTAAGAGTAGATGCAGAAGTTGACGGCCAATTTTATTTCTTGTTCTTCTCAAATGCCATCCAGCTCTTTTGTCTTGATTCAATTCATAATCTCAAAATATCCGAGAAGAAATCAGCTAACTATCAAAAATACGAGTTTGTGAGATGATCATTGATGGTCTTGCATAAGCTACTAAAGATGAGAGAGACGCGAGACGCGATGGACAAGGTTTAGCTAGTTATATCCGCGCGTTTATTCTGCGCTCCTTCAAAGGCGCCTAGCGTGGCACAGATTCCCTTGGACGGGCGATGTACGAATACCCGATAAAAATATATATATATATATGTGAAAGGGTTCATGATCTTTAAACTTTTCAACCCGGTATCACCAGCTTGAGTTGGCGGGTTTGTTTAGAGCCCACTGATAGATATAACCCCTCCGTTTTGCTATATCCTCAGAGACCATTAATATGTTATGGATCGGCACTTTTAACTTTATGGTCTTCTCACAGACTCCAGCTATTCTAATGGGAAGCTAGCTAGCTAGTCCCCTTTATTATTATTATTATGATTATGATTGCGCTCCTTAAATATCATCGGATGATACTTATTGTATCAAAACACCTCAACAATCTCCGCGTCCTCATCAACATTATCTTCAATTGCCACTTTAGCCTTCGCCATTGCTTCCTCCTCCGCACCCCCCTCGCCCTCCTCATCTCGCATAAGCACCTGCACCAATCGATCGCACCCTTCCTGCACCCCCTCATCATCAACATGCAAATGACACTCCCGTATAATCGGATACACTTTCACCTCCCGCATCAGATCCCTCCCCTCTCTCGTTGTGGTTAGTAGAAGCAATGTTTCTAGATGGGTAGATATGATACCCTTATCAGATTCCCGCTCTTTATTTGGTGGCAGGAGTTGTAGATCCGGCAACATCGCCGCGCTCTCTTCATCCGTGAACTCCTCGGGTCCCGCGAGAGGTAGCAGTACATAAGGGAGGATATTAACATCTGACTCAGCCAGCAGTTGCGGATGCGATTCGATCCTGAATGAGATATTTTTTAGAGTAGATGCTACACCCTTTCTGCGAATGTGGCTGCGGTGTTCAGTGAAAACGGTGAGTTTGGTGATGGGAATGACAGAGTCGTAGTCCTGCTTTGTCATGAAGTAGGCCCTGCCTTCTTCAAACTTAGATATGTCTGCGAACAGGTAGGCTAGGTAGTCATAGTCAGAGTCAGCGGCTTTGTTGATACCCCCGTCCTGCCCCTTGATGAAACAGTCCATTAATTGGTCGAGGGCTTTGGGGGAGTCGGAAACACCTTTTGGCACGCTGCGGGTTAGGTTTACTATGCGTTTGAAACTTTCGGATTTGGCGAGATTGGCGAGGAGCATGGTGATTTCGTTGACGTTTGATTCTTTTTTGTTCTGTGGTTTTCATTTAGTCTATGACTTTTGCCTAGAATTAAGTGCGGACAATGTATGTAAATACCGTTACTTTGCCCAAGAGGGTTTCCAGAAAAGCGTCATCCTCCGCTAATTCTTTAAGAACTTCCTCGTCCCCGGAAAGGTTTATCAAGATTGTCAATGCATTTTTTGCAATGGGCTAGAGGGTCAGGAAACGTCAGTCCGTTCTCAAAGAGTCATTTTCAGGTTACTTGAAATCACCTTTATATTTCCTTTGCAGAGAAATATTGAAGATACTTACAGCATAATCCCGAACAAGCAGTTTAAGGTCGCGCACTGGCAAAAGTTGATGAACCTTAAAAAGCGAGGGCTGTGATATCGAGAATCCAAGAAGATTTTCACATGCTGCATGGCATCAGCTAACTAGTTAGCGATAACACAGATATACGTGCACAACAGAAGGGAAATTCTATCATGAAAAGGGGGTCATTATAGAATATGCAGCAGGAAGTCTAGAGGGACCTTAACGGACCTATTTGTCTTATCTGGGTGTTTCCATGATGAAGAAACTCGACGAGCTAGTTATATGTGCATACATCGCGCAAGCTTCTACGTCAGTTAACCAAATCCGAGAGAATGCAAAGTTTTCCGGGGATCTCTTTTGAAGCGCAATAACTGAGGTATGTTGCATACCTCTTCTAGTTCGGTGGGCATTTTGTGCCCTCTATAATATGTCCGCTATTTTGGTGAAAGATATGATAAATACTACGACACGAAATGGGAAATGTGCCCAGATGCAAGAGCGTACCAGTAGCAGTTCTCCGGGTATTTGTTGGAGAATTACAGGAAATATAACAGTCGGGTTTTCCGTCAATCGATCCTTGTTGCGCTTTTGCGATGCAAAATATGACGACAGAATAGCTAACTTATAACTGGTTAACTAGTTAGTTATTATTTTTTTTTTTTTTGCTTAGTCAGTAGTTAAGCCCTAACTAACTAACTAGTTAGTTAATTGCAGGCTGTCCAATCCGACCTTCTTATCAGGTAGTTATATTATATAACGAATGCCCGTCACTTATTTCCATGTTTGTATAATTATTATTATATTATTATTTAATGTCCCGGGGGAATCTCTCCTTTCTTGATCACACATATTATTATATACTGCTTGCTTCGGGGATTGAGGGCGTTTTAACATCATTTATTCGGTTTCTATTTTAAAACAGTCAGCTAAAAAACGTCGCTAAACCCAGGTCCGTCCGCCTTTATTGGATTAGAATTAACACCACAAAAACGAAGATTGTGTCGATTTGATTGGGTCTCTAGCTTGCTAGCAGGTTCGGCTAGGGCTGCTACTTAAATAAGTTGCTTGGTGAGAATTATTGCTGTTAATCTTTCTATTTCTTCTCCGCCAGCCACACCGTCACATCCATTTGCTCCGTTCCTCGATGGTGCATTGCTAGTCCTTCTAGATCAAGGTTCCAAAGTTCCCAAGTTCCCGATCCGAGACTTCTGCCGAAAATCAAGTCCGCCTGAGCCTCGACATTGCCAGACGCTAGAAACATCAATTTGCCGACAACCAGCCGGCTTAGCATAAGAGATAAGAAGACGTATCACAAGCACAGAAATCACTGATATAGCTGCAGTATGGGAAGAAAAGGAATTATGCCGTGTCTTTATTAGACTGTTCCGAAGTAATGAACAATTAACAGAGTTCGAGACCTTGCATTGTGCCTGGATATCACGGGAGAAGAACGCCTATTGTTCGGGTCTTGGTGAGATCGCGTACGGGCATAACTGAACGACAGGGTGCAATGTCTGATCTAATAGTAGGGGGGGGGGGGGGGGAGGTTAAGCGCTTTTCTCAGCGGCGTGCATATTGTAAAACAGGCGTTGAACGTTTGAAATGAATGAAACTCCAAGACAAAACATCAGCATGGAAATTGAGTGCGAACCTCGCCGGTACAACAAACGAGTTAGTCTGTAGTTAAAGGGAATTAAGTTATAATCAAGACCCATGATTACGCAAATGGCACCGTCTCGTTGGTGCATGCAGCATGCAGTGATGCGCTGATTCGACTTGCAGGCTGTTCTTATCCCTCCTGGCTCCATCGGGTCCCGAGGAACTTTGCATCATGCAGGTCCATTGACTCGAAACAACGGAGGCTAGTTTTTGTCCTCGCTTGGGAGCGGTGTGAGATATATCAAGACCGATATGAGCTCTTTTGAGGCATTCTAGATAACTAATGTTTGAGTACACCTGGTTACAGTGGTACAGTCCATAAGGTACCCTGTATCACCCGCAGATATGATTCCAGAATGGTTGGCTGAGTGTCTGGATATTTCATTGCGAAGAGCAGTTACTGCTATCTTCAATTGCTGTTATTGTATACCGGATTATTCAATGTTGGGTGAGATGTGATGGACGAAGCAGATCTTCGAATTTCTCCGCAATTTTTTGGGGACCTTGAAGATTTGATGGAACATTTCCTTTTTTTCGGCTTTTAATTTGTGTTTCTTCACTAATAAAACGAAACCTCATGATACACCAGCATCAAGGTATTTACATACATCTAGGATCATCAATTCTACAAAACTCTAGAATATTTTAATTCCCGTTCTACGTTACTACGTTCTTGGTTGTCTTAGACACTTGGACCGGGTATATAAATGTTGAATTCCCTGCTTTTCGCCATTTGTGGTCTCCCATTTTGACTTTGGTATAAAAGTAATTAACCTTAATTACTTTACAATTCTCCACCTTGCTACGATCCAACCCTCTGAGCTTAAGTAAAAGAATTGGTTGTTTCGTTAACCCAGGACAGAAACTTTTCTGTATACTTTTCCCACCCCTTTTATTACACCTTTCAGCTTCTTCTTTCCCCTCCCCCTCTCCGCAATTAGCCCTCCCCGGCCCAAACATCAGGACAGTACCGTCAGCAAAAATGGTCGCAGCAAACAGCGTCAAATCATTAGCGCCTGATCTCCAGGAGATCCATGATTTCCTCATTGACCTGGCTTACCGGGCTGCGGATATCATCACTGGAGCTAAGCCATTGGTCAATTGCGTTGGCTCGAAAAAGAACAGTAAATCTCTCTCCCCAATTGTCTACAGGCGGACCTCTGTTGGAAGATGTAATAACGTACGGACTTCTGGCATACAGCATCCGACCTGGTAACAGAATATGACCGTGCGGTTGAAGCAATGATTGCCAAAGAGCTCAAATCCAAATATCCAAATTACGAGTAAGTCTTCCCTTTCTCGTGATGTTAAATTCTGTCCAAACCAGTATACTCAAATAAAGCCAATCGAAGTTTTGCAACCGCACGATAACAACTTAACCAATCAAGCACAGATTCATGGGCGAAGAAACCTACCACCCCTCAAAACCCCTCACAGAAGCTCCAACCTTCATCGTCGACCCAATCGACGGCACCGTAAACTTCGTCCACAGTTTCCCAAACTCCTGTATCTCTCTAGGTTTTGCCATCAAGAAGCGTCCCGTTGTTGGCGTCGTCTTCAACCCCTCCACAAAAACTCTCTACACTGCCATAGCCGGCAAGGGCGCATATCTGAACCGCAAGACAAAGCTTCCGCTCAAGGGACCCGACGCGATTGAGCCCCTGAAGGGCCTTGGAAGTGCTCTCATAGCTGTTGAGTGGGGTTCTGATCGCCACGGGCAGAACTGGGAGACCAAAATCCGCACCTTTGAGAGACTCGGTAAGAGCCGCGAAGAGGGCGGAGCTATGGTGCATTCGATGCGCAGCATGGGTTCCGCAGCACTTAACTTGTGTGCCGTGGCCGCGGGGGTACTTGATTTGTATTGGGAGGGCGGCTGTTGGGCGTGGGATGTGTGTGCGGGCTGGGTCATTCTGACAGAAGCTGGGGGAATTGTGGTGGACGGGAACCCCGGTGGATGGGAAGGGAAAGTTGATGGGAGAAAGTACCTTGCTGTCCGTGCGTCGCCGAATGGGGAGGGTCAAAAGGAGATTATCGAGGAGCTCTGGGGACATATGCAGGGGACTTTCAATTATTCTCATTGAGAATGCTTCCTACGGGATACGTCGCCGATGGAACCATTAAAATGCATTTCGCGGCTATTCTCAATCAATTTAATTTATAATTCTTGGATGGGATTTGAAAGTCGGCGTTTGAATAGGCTCTGTCGGGGCAAATTTGACTCTGGGACACTTTTTATATTTTTTTATTTTTATTTTTATTTTTATTTTATTTATTTTCAACTTCCCGTATGGGCGTAGCCGAATATTGACGATGCAATGATAAAGGGATATAAAAATATTTCTTTCTGCTTCACTCAACACATACCCATTTTAAATGATGTTCGGATAGAAATATGCGATTGTGATAGATACAGGTTCAAACCCGACTGCTAGAACCAAGTAGATAGAATCAATCCCATGCTTGTTTCTTTTTATTCAAAGTCTTCTTGCATACCAATGATGATGAACCATCATCGATACAATGTCCGCTTTCAATCGTCTATTCAATAAGACTTGAAGTCACAGCGTAGCCGAAACCGCCTGCTTTTGGCCATGTTAGTTTTTCCCAAGGTGCTCCACTAGGACCATAGTAAACGTATTTGTAGCTTGGGCATGGTCACATATTTCCCGTTCGAACATTAAAAATAAATAAATATAATAATTCGTCTGTTGGGTTCCCAGAGTCGCAACCGTTTATCCACGTGACCCCGCCGTTTTAGGCACTCCCACCGGTATTCATTCACTGGAAATCCCTGCATAGACTTGCTTCATCTCACGCTCAACTTCACACCCAACGACAGGATCATACAAAAGGAACTGGAGAAGAAATAAAAGAGGAGAAACTGACCCAGTGTCGGCAGCCTTGTTTTGCTTTTAGCGTATTCCCGCCTCAACTACTCGTCCAATTGGTGTAACATCATGGAGGCCCCTCACCTTTTGACTCTCGAGGCGGTCAAATATCGATACGACTGGATCTGACTAGGACATCCTCGCCCTGCCAGCTGGCCAGCAACTGTTGGTTTTCACGTTGGCCCAAAAGCGTGGCATGCAAAGCTACCAGATCACTGTCGGCTCTGTCACCACCCAGTGGCACTCACCTTTGCCTGTCAGGCTGTTGCCAATTGGCCCCAAAGAACATATGCATGTTTTCTCCCAATGAATACGCCGTGAACTACTCCGTACTGACAATTCTTAATCGGCCTAGTCGCCCTAACAAGCTAAATATACCCGGTAAACTATCCTAGGCCCGTCCACCATAAATAAATAAAGAAATCAAATGTCTTTTGGGCTGGGGTTGGATGTCTCGTGTATTTGATTGAAGATTCGCACTGTTGGCCATCGTCATCATAGTCTTTCCCCCCGCCCGATCCATACACATGTTGCGAACGAACAGTTCATGCAGCCCTCGCTGGCGGGGACGTTATGACATGGGTGATATTCTGTGATGGTGGTGAGGGGCTGTGAGCATTTCTTTGGGTTACTTTTTCTCCCGTTCCAACAAACCAGATAAACATTATTGTAAAACAAGAGAAAAAAGTATTCAAGGGGGAGCAAGGACGTGGGAAAGGCGAGATTAATACCCCTTCTTCTTCCCTTGCTTTTTTCCTTTACGACTGGCATACGGACAAATATGCTGCGAAAGTTATCTTCCCCGAGAAATACATCGTCTCGAAAGGAATAAACTGACTTTCTGTCATATTGATGGTTCCGGATTACCTCCGCTGTGCCTGATAGTTTCCAAGGTTACAATCAATTGCTCTCCAGGGTGAAAAAAAAAAAAAGAAAGAAAGAAGAAAGAAAGAAAGAAAAGAAAGAAAAAAGAAAAAAGAAAAAAGAAAAAAAGAAAACACACACACACACACACACACACACACACACACACACACATCCAAAATAAAACGAAGCTTGCACTCTGGAAACCCTGTCGAGAGTGTTGTATATACAGCTGACTTTTATCCTTGAATTCACGTGGACGTGGACATCGCTCTCTCTATTCACTTGCACGATTAGAGCTCTTGAGGGGACGGACGAACTAACGAATAGTTTACGATCCCCACTATTTGGGTACCGCTGGAGCTCATCCACATTACATATCATAATGTCATCTCGATTAGAACGTCATCATCACCATCATAGCCATCATCGATCCAGACACCGCGATGAGGATGGGGAAAATAAACACCGTCGGCGCAAGTCTCACCGGGTCGAATTTCCGGAGAAGGAAACTGACGAATCCGTTCGCGAAAGCTGCCGGAATGAGAACTTTGACTCCCGAACTGCTAGGGGGCATTCTTATATCGATCGTTCATCGAGCCTATCAGCACCCAAGCGCTCGAACTCTACCCGAGTGCCTCCACGAGAAAGTCATAACTCTACTGTGGGGAAAGGCCCAGTTCTTCTGCGAAATACTACCCAACGCACCGTGATGGCTCATTGGGAAAAGAAATACCCTAGCAGACGTTCCAGGGTATCTGATCCTCCTCAACACTCCTCTTATACCACAACCAAATCAAGCTCCCCTTCCAGGGGACGTTCTACCCACCAGACAACTAAGATTCCCTCGAAAGCACAGAAAGCTCCACCCGTGATTGCTCACCTTCGCTCGGCGCCGACGGTAGCTGTCAAAGAAAAACCAGAGAACCGCCCAGCGCTGGTGAGGGAGGGTGGGAAGAGTCCTAGTGTGTTCGGAACTTTTTTTCGTGGCCCATCTCCTGCTAAGCCCGTGGTGGAGAAGAAGTATGTAGCATGTGAAATTTCATGTTAATGTCAATGCGTGGTTTTATAAGTTAACGCATTGAATCTTGAAACTAGGGTTACATGTTTGACCTGTCTCTCGGACGACATTCCTATCAGTAAAGTGGCGAAGCTTGCCTGTTCCCACAGAATGTGCGGGGACTGCCTCAAACGCATATTTGAGCTGTCCGTGAAGGACCCGCAACATATGCCCCCCAAATGCTGCACATCAGATCACATCCCTCTCAAACACGTCGACAAACTATTTGACCAGAAATTCAAGATGCAATGGAACAAGAAATACCAAGAATACACCACAAAGAACAGAATATACTGTCCCGCCAAGGGATGCGGCGAATGGATCAAGCCCAGCAATATTCACCTCAATACCCGCTCCGGTGCCACCGGCGGCCGAAAGTACGGCAAATGCTCCAAGTGCAGGACAAAAGTCTGCGCTTTGTGCAACGGCAAATGGCACATGGGTAATGACTGTCCGAAGGACGAGGATACCAGACTCTTTGCGGAGGTGGCCAAGGAAGAGGGATGGCAAAAATGCTTCAACTGTAAGGCCATGGTCGAGCTGCGCGAGGGCTGCAACCACATGACCTGCCGCTGTACGGCTGAATTTTGTATGATCTGCGGCGCCAAGTGGAAGACATGCGAGTGTCCCTGGTTCAGCAACGCCGCCATCGAAGCGGACCGTCTAAACCATATTGATATGCGGAGGAGACAGGGGCATTTCCCCAACCACATCCTATGGGGGAACCCGATGCAGTTCCAGCGGCAGATGGATATGGATATGCGACGCCAGCAAGAGGTGAGGGATGAGCATATGGCCAGGCACTTGCACCGCTGGCAGGAGATGGATGAACATATGACCAGGCAATTGCACCTGAGACGCCAGCAAGAGGTGAGGGACGAACAGATGGCCAGGAATTTGCAGGGTCTTTTTGGCCGTATGCATATAGCTATGCCTGGAGGTTACGAGATGAATCCGAACGAGCAGCCCCGCTTTTATCCAGTGCAGATGCAGATGCTGCCGTGGCAGGTCTATAATGAGGGTTTTGTCACTCCGTTTGAAGAGACGGGCCATATTTTACGCGATCATACGCCTTCGCCACCGCCACGAGATATAAGATACGAATATTACGAGGTCCGGTCGAACAGGCAGCCGTATTAGCTTTCTACGTAGTGGGAACCTTCCTGGGGGCAACATTGGTGAAAGAAAAGTGTGTACCTTTGGACCAGATCTTTCTAATATACGGTTACGAACAACGCCTGGACCACAGGTGATATTGATTGGAGTCTTTTGCTTACGAACGGTATTAATGACGTCTATGCCTACGCTGATCGTTAGTACAGCACACACAATGCAGGGATTGTTTTTTCAGCACCTGCGTCCCTTCAATTTTGAATTTCATTCCATCCTTTCGCAACGGCATCGTATAAGAGCATTTTGAATATCTTATGTTCTACCTGCTTATTTTCCTCATTCATTCTCAGAGCATATTTTCCTATCTCTCTTTGACCGCTTTATGTTTTGTACGATGCTATGTCCTTGGTAATTTTTGTTAAGCGGGCTTTTTGTTTGTGCATTTCTGTTTGATAATCATCATGGGAAGGCGGTCATATCTCTTTCTATTATATCTGTTGCCATTTACCTATTGGAGAAATATGTTTCAATATTTTCTTGTTCTTGTTTTTTTCTTGAGAGAGGAACTGTGTTTTTAATTAATTCATCATCATCATCATCATCATTATTTGGATATTGCCTCGGGAGGATTATATTTAAGTTGTCTAATGCGGGGTTGCTCACTGTTATCCTCTTAGTAATGACGCCTTTGTCCGTCTGAGGAAAGCCAGGTAGGAATTGTAGTAATTGGTTCGTCATGCTCAAGTCAACATTTGTATACACTCGTAGAGCAGCTGCTTACCTCGTAGGTCTGTAGTTGTTAGTCATGTGCTTCCAAGGGGCTGATTCGCCAAAGTTGGGCTTGATGGGCCGGATTAATGTTTTCCCACACTTCCAAGTTTCTCCTCGAGCCTCTTTTAAGAGTATTCTTTGAAGATTATGAACCACTGCATATATATTCCACTACAATAGCTATGTCGATCAGGCTAGGCACACTCTCAGACATTACACAGGCTCGATATGTGATTCATCTTTCCGATGGTAAGCGGCTAGTTCTTTTCCGCTTACCCTGCATTGAGCCCTCCACCACACCAAAAGCCAACGAAACCTCAGATGGATGGTCATATTATGCCATGGAGGCAGAATGCCCACATGCGGGAGGCCCCATGGCCGAATCTCAGGTTGATATTGAAGATTCTGCTTACATTGTGTCTTGTCCATGGCATGCATATGACTTCAACGTCGAGACCGGAGAGTCTAGTGTGGGCATCAAAACCTGCACTTTTCCCATTGATATCCAAGGCGAGGTTGTGACTCTGAGATACAGTGTAAAGGAGAAAGGAGATGAAGATGTGGCGTTGAGCAAAATAGAACCCGTCAGCGAGAAGGTCATGTTGAAGAAGAAGAAGAAGAAGAAGAAGAAGAAGAAGAAGAAGCAACAGAGGCGCGAAAGGAAGAAGAAACCAATGGAGCTTTCTTCGACTACGACCACTACTTCCGCTGCGGCGTGTGAGCTCCTAGAAGAAGAAGGAGATGAAGGAGAGGGAGAGGATACCAAATCTGTACCTCGCTATCTAGACGAGCACGCCACATTCTGCGATTGGGCTGTTCACATCCTGAACACAGCGGATCCCGAACACAAAATCGAACTAACTACCCACCTCTTCTCTCTCTTCACCAAAAACGAAGTTTCCACCTCTCCACTACCTTTGGGGCGAGGAGTTGTGGCACCCCCGGACCAACCACCCCGCCAAAATAACCTGGCAGAGGTCAACCCCTGGGAAACTCCCAAACCAGGTCGTGGCGGGACGCTCAAAAGCCGTATTGCTATGCTACATTCCCTGGCTAACATCGAGCTTTGGGCAATCGATCTCGCCATTGACATATGCGTGCGATTCTCCACATTTCGGACAAACTCAGAACCGCAAAAGGAACTCCCCCGTACTTTCTTCCATGATTTCCTCAAAGTCGCTGCTGACGAAGCTAAACACTTTTCCCTGCTGCGTGCGCGCTTGGAGCAATTGGACTCACGCTTCGGAGCTCTCCCTGTCCACCACGGCCTCTGGCTCTCCGCCACAGAGACCGCAAACGATATTCGAGCGCGAATAAGTATCATCGCCCTCGTGCATGAGGCGAGGGGTCTCGACGTGAATCCCATGACAATCCAGAAATTCCGCAATGCGGGGGATATGGAGAGTGTGGCAACGCTAGAAATCATTCATAACGATGAGATCACCCATGTGACGACTGGGCATAGGTGGTTATGTTGGATTTGTGAGCAAGAAGGGACGGATGCAGTGCAAGTGTTCCGGGAGAATGTTAGGAGGCATTTCAGGGGCCCGCTTCGGGGACCATTTAATGTGGAGGATCGGAAGAGGGCCGGGATGGATAAAAAATGGTATGAGGATGGGATCAATCATGCTAATAATGACGTGAAAATTACTTCATAGGAAAAGGATGACGAAGATGGTTATGCGACTGAGCAATGGTGTTCTTGTCTTCCTTTTTGAAGCTATGATGCGTTGTTCTTCAAAGCGGATAAAGCATACACTTGCCCTTCATCATCAGCAGGAAATTCTACCTTACAAATTTTCACCCACAATTCAATTGATTGGTAAGCACGTCGCTCAAGGAAAGCCGCGGTGTATGATACAATGCCAATTCCTTATACATCACAATAAGCATATTCATCAGGCAATTTGTTAACTCAGTGCATGTACACAGAGCACAACTAACATTTCCATGACCTTCAACCCTGGTCAATACCCTGCAACATCCAATGGGGATGGTTCTACCAACAGTTCGACACAATGGACGCCCAACCCCCATTTGTTAGAACTTGTGCGCCATGCAGACTCGGCGCAGGATAGAGAAGCTAAACCCCTGATGTTGACTTACCACTTACCTTGGTGTAAGCCATTCAACCACAGCGTATATCCTCTACAGAAACACTAACTATCTAAGAAGTATCATCTTGGAGGCTCGTCGCTTCCTCCTCATTTATGGTTTTAAATTCACCCGACGCCCACAGTTTAAGGTCAACTACGGTTGAAACTCCCCTGAATGCTGGCTTCTGCCTCCTCGGCTGCTGTTTTCGCGCTTTAGATAACCACCAACATCAATGCTTTGTGGGCAACCCGAAAATCTGACAAAGGCAACAATGAGAGTCGAAGATGACCTGTCTGGCCGGCTCGAAATATTGAAGGAAATATTGCTCTTAGAGCCAGAGGAGGCATGATATATCCAAAATCTCTGGATGACATATATCTTGAAAGGTTACAGATTTCAAAGACGGTATTCACAAAGCCTTCTGGGTAATTTTCATGATTAAATGTCCGTCAAAGATAAATTATTTGAAATTATTGAGATGTAGCAGGAGTCAATAGTAAGGTATCGCAGAGACGAGCCCTGAGACGGTGGGAAGGGGTGGCGGCGTATTCGCCTCATTTTCCGCTCCAACCATCGGAAACTCTTGTTTTTAATGTGGAGAAAATACTACGTATTTGGGCGTTTTTATCATAGTTCTGACAGTTTGTGCCATTCTGGGAGCAGATCTGCACCCGGGAGGCGGAGGCTAGCTACGCCAAATACGGGCTATCTAGATCACGGAGCGAAACAACTGGTCAAATGCCGGCGGCTAATAGAAACTTCAGGGGCTGCAGGGGCATGAGCGGATAAGAGATCACGGTACATAACTATATATTACTTTTATCCTTGTTAAGGAGATCTAGCTAGTCTATATACGCCTAAGTCACGTGTGATGGGCGTCGCGGGTCAACGGACTATTCCATGTACACCCAACAATTATTAAACCTGTTGTATATTATTTTGCTTTTGACCATGATTTTCTTGACAAAAGAGGATTAATAGCACAACGGTAAAATGGGAAAAACAGCAGCTGGTGGCCTTCAAAAAGAGAAATTTAATGAACATATATGCACATCAACTCTTAATTCATCCAATTTCATGACCAAACGGAACAGAAGGGAGACCGAAGGTAGAACGGAATAAGTACTTGAAGAAAGTATAAGAAAGGGGAAGGGGTTTGGCTTAAAAAGCAATATGGTACATAATACTCATAACAAGGAATGAACAACTCCGAGTGCGTCAGGCTTTTCCAGCTGCGGAAGCTCTACCGTGGACATATATGCAGTAAACGTCATCACATGATGTCGTTGCCTTAGGGGATAGATATCGCAGGGCGAGGACGGGCTAATGAGTCTGGCAAAATCATTACAAACCAAAACCATTAAAATCCCCATAGAGGCAGAAAAGACAAAGAAAGAAGAACGAAATCCAAAAATCCATAAAGGAACTAGAACCAAGGATCCTCATTGACCTTGCTCAGACGCCCGTTTCGCTCCAAAGTCACCAGAGGAGCAGCCAGCCAAAGTCTCCTCAGTCTCAGTCTCAGCCTTAGCTTCTTTCTGTTCATTTTTGGCATCAAGCGTCGCAGCGCCCAACATCTTTGTTGGAGACTCCGTCACTTCGTCACTCACAACATAGCCCTCAGTCACATGAGTCACGGAAATACCGCTACAGCGAAAGTGGCCTTCGTCTTGGGAGTCATAAGGACCGTTGACATTGTCTTCGAGATACCGATCCGTCCATCTAGAGGACTCCTGATATGAGATCCTGGAGTGGAAAGAGGAAATTCGACTCATGCTGCTGGACGGCGGTTGTGGATTGATTAGGGCGAGATTGTTGTTGGTATCCGCGGAGTCAGTGTGGTTGGTGGGAGCTGAGGAAGGTAAAAGCATTTCCTGGGGTTTGTTACTTTCCTCAGATGAATCTAATGTGTGTTCACAGCTATTGTTTTTGGGTTTCTTTGCTGATGCTTGACCAGGGGCATCGAATTGGCCAATGACCTCTTTTCCAGATTCTGAGACTGGGTAGCTAGTTGGCAAAGCGCGTTCAGCGCCACTTTCAAACTCATCTGCCGTCTGAGCAGCAGCGGTGTTTGCGAAATGCGTATCGACGAGATGCTTCACGACAGGCCAGCCATAGGCGTTTGCAAACATGCGGCGGACTATGATGTTATTGTGCGC